TGCAAACAATATACAGCATTAAAACAAATAGTTCCTGCCATGACATCTACAATGTTAATTGTCACAATAAACAGACATGTTATGATCAGTTGTTGTCTACAATAAAAACAGTAGGTTTTCAAGAGGGTTTACAATTTCAAATGGTGGACAGGGAGAGGGTGGATGTGATGAAGATGTGATGATTATGAGAAAGGACAAGAGAAGGTAGAAGTAAATAAAGAAAGAGTGAAAGAGAACAATAGAGATTTGCTGTAAGTAGAAGAAAAAAGAGAAAGAGAATCAAGGGACACAGATAAGTGAGAGAAAAAAGTATACACAGTAAAAATCAAAATTAAAAATAAAAAACAAAACTGAAATATTCAAATCAAATATCCTAGTCCTTAAAATACTGACCCATGAAAAATCACTGCCTTCAACAATGCTAGAAAAGAGAGAAAAAACAAATATGAATATGTATAAATGTCCATGAACCATTAAGGTCACAATTAAACACAGAAAAGAAAAAGCCAAAAAAAAAAAAAGATCTCAATGAAAATTTAAGTACTGTTTCTGCTGGAGTTCACAAGACCCTCAGCTTCCCTCTCAGCAGAGTCAGGCGAGGGCTTGTGGAGTGTGATGCTTGCTCCACCCTCAGGGTGGGGTGCTGGTGTGAGAGAGGTGATCCCATGGGTGGACCACCTTGGGGCAGGCTTAGGCTTAGGTATGCTCCAGGCTCTTTGCTGAATGTCAACTGGTCCAAAGACCTCAAATTGGGGTGCCTCCAGGGCCCAGCAATTGCTGGTCCACAGTGGAAGACTGCACCCCTGGTTTCCACTCCTGGAGTAGTAGAGGAGCCAGTTCTTAGTCCACTCCATCACCACTCCGCTACGTTTCCTGGCCTCAGATTCAGTCTTCAAACTCAGTCTCTCCTGCCCCTACCCCACCCCCAACTCCCAGCCAGGCACATCTCTCCAACCTGGTCAGCAAGTAGCCTGATTGCAGGGGGAAGAGGAGAGCTTGGTGGGTTTCCATGTCCAGTAGTCTCCTGTGCAAACCTCTCTCCATGTTTGATTTTCTCCTGGTCATTAGGCACCCTCCACGTCATACCGTGTGGGTGTTCTAGGCCTGTATTGTGGTCAAACTGGGGTGTTCTAGGAGTCAGCTCCCCAGCTGCTGGCCCCTGGCCCACAGCTGCAGAATGGTTCACCTGCATCCTCTGCACACAGCCAGGACAGATGGCACTTCTGTCCCACACAAGGACATTGGGCAGTGTCTTTGGTCTCTAAACTCTCCACATGCAGCATGCCTCAGGCCCCTATAAATGGACATTCCTGTAACTCCCTTATCCCTCCCCTTTGCTCACAGAGGGACAACTCTGGCTGGTTTCTCCAGCTGCAGCTGTGGCACTGGGGATTTCTGTGTGTGTGTGTGTGTGTGTGTGTGTGTGTGTGTGTGCTGCTGGGTATTGAACCCAGGGCCTCTACCAACAGAGCTATAACCCCAACCTGGCCTCTTCCTTATTATATCCAACCTCCTCAGTCCCTAACCTGCTTGAATGTCCAGTACTAAGTTCCACTGGACTCTCCCCACCCTTCCTTCTTATCACCCACCTTGCTGAGAAGCCACCTGTCTTCCTTCTTGGTTTCATGCCACAGAGCAGCCAGGAAAGCGGCCTCCTCTATTCTGCTATCTTGAAACCCCCACCAGGTACTTTCAAAATAATTCCTTTGACTTCTTAGTGTTTTCGCAATAAACAGGAAAAAATGGAAGAAACAGTGTGTGGAAGGAAGGACAGGGCTAAAAGCTGAATTAACGGAATAGAGTCTTGAAGAATCATTAGTACAGACAAATAAAATCAGTGCTAGATGGAAATCATTAGGCATGGAGGTCAATTATTCATGACCCATTACAGAAATAATTAATTTAACTGTGAAAAAGACAAATGAGAGAAAAATATCTTTAAAGACATAAAATGATTTTCCTACAGTGAATGAGGAGATGAATGCTGATGCGATGGCCGATGTAAACTGGGGGGTGGGAGGGGAAGGGCACTCCACACCGAGCCCTGTCCTGGAGGGCTGTCACCATGTGGGGAACGTGGAGAGAACAGTGACGGAGGGGCAGACCTCCGCCAACCCCTGGTCAGCTGCACACTGCTTCCTCTGCCCTCTCCCACAGTCCTCTGGTATTCCCGAGCAACTGTCAAATATGATATGATCTTCTGTGCATAACTTAGCTGTTATCTATAAAATATGAGAATTTTTATTTTCAAAAACATGTGCACAGTCTCATTATCATATGTAAAGGAGATTAATTCCATAATATCATCAAACATCTATCATTATTCAAATGTCCAATGCCCATATGTGGAACGACTGTGTTTTTTTTAGACACGACGATTGAATTAATATCCAAAATACATTCTGAGGAGAGAATCATGGACACTTCTCTTTGCATCTCTAGCTGCCCTTCACTCACTCCCTGAGGTCGTGCTGCTGTTGATGCTGAGTTCTTAACTAGCGCTTGGCCCTTGTGACTCCCCTTGGCTTGGCTGAGCGGCCTCCTCCACTGGTGAGCCCTCATGCCCCTCTAGGTGTGTGCTCTTGTTGATCAGCGGTGGGGTCGAGAGGCTCAACTGGAATCCAGTCACATTATGACGTGCTCTTATGGTTGCCACTGCCTGAACTCTGCATCAGAACACTGTGGAGGTGTGGCACTCCTCCCTCCAGAGAAACGTGGTGCCCCACCTTCTTCTGTGACAGCTCAGTCACTGAAGAGCTCTGCCCCTTTCCCTCACTCACTGGGTTTGGCCAAACGTTGGTCCTCAGCAATCCTGTGATTCCTTCATAGCTGCCGTACATTGTGAAAACTGACGGACAGATAAGCACTACCTATATTTGAGAAGCAACTTTGGCTCACTATGGGCCTGGGTGGACAGAGAACCTGTATTTACAAGCCACCATGTACTCTGGGGTCCACTCAGATAGAAAAAAACAGGATAAGAGTTTGTTTTTTCCCCTTTTAGGAACCATTTCAAATCAATGAGCTTCTTCCAGAAATGGATATGATTTACTGTACAGAATCAGACCTTCAAACCAACTTGGATGTGTTAATCTATTCGGGTTATGAGTTTACCTGGTAAAACATCCTGTCTCTGACCACTGGAACCCTCCTCAAGTTAGCACCACACTCAATGAAATCAGGGTAGATCTACTTATTGAAAAAGATGCAGAAGTCAAGAAAGAGACGTGATTCTAATCTAAGACTATGGGAAGCATGAAAGTCAAGAGCAAACTCAGTTGTACCATGAGGTGGTTTGGCTATACAAATTTTATGCCAGGCACAATTTTAAAATACATTTTTATTTATAAAGAGATATTTAATAATGAAAATGTTTCATCCAACCCAATCATGTGAACATTTGAATTTGCATGTAAGTAATGAAGATTTAAAACGGAAAGCAAAAATATGGAGTTTAAGATGACATGCACGCATCCAAGTCAGAGTGAAATTCCTCCACACGCTCTCAGGAACTGGTGAGAGAAATCAGACTTAGTAGCCACAGGTTAGAACTGAGTATATCAGCACAGGACTTGCCTGGCACACAGAGAGCCCAACAGGAGCAAATTCAAGATATGAATTCCCCAAAGCTTCTGGGCCATCCCTGACTTGAATGGGTTGTGTCCCCTGGAAACTCAGAATGTGACCGAACCTGGATAGGACCTTTGCAGATAGATTAGTTACCTGAGGTCATATATCCTGGGTGGGCCCTAAACCAACACCTAGAACCTGCAGGAAGAAAGGTCACAGAGGCACAGGGACGGGAGGAAGAGGCGTGTGTGAGGTGGAGGCAGAGACGGCAGCCAGGCAGCTGCTGGCCGAGGAGCACCAGGGAGGATGGGGCCACCAGGAGCAAGACTGCCCCAATCACAAGGTCAGAATGTCTGAAAGGAGGCTCCCTCCTCAGCCAGCGGGGAGACGAGGACGCAGCCAGGGGCCCAAGGGCCAGAACGAACTCTGGCAGCATCTGAGCTCTGCCTCCCCAGCCCCCAAGCACCACGAGCTCCCAGGCCTCCATGAGAAGTGCATCTGTCCCAGAGAGGAGTCCAGGCCAGAGCATCCAAGAGGACACCTGCAACGAGCCTGGGTCCCCGAGTGGGGCAGAGAGGACGGCCTCGTCTGGTGCAGCCCTAGGAGGCCAGCAGGAGCTGGACACATGGCCACAGGGACTCAGCTCACAGAGACGACGCCCCTGCGTGGGCTCCACCTAGGAAGTCCCTGTGGGTGGTGGGCACTGTGGCTGAGTCTGGTCACGGCTTAGTCTGGGAGGGGACGCGGGAGGGAGAGGGTGGACTCTGGGCACCGGGTCAGTGTCTGCCTGTGAGCTGGTGGTGTTACCTGAGCTGTGCATGGCGGATGAGAGCACACGCCTGCCCCTGTGTGACGGCCACCACGCTGGCCCACTCCTTCCTGAGAGGCAGCCCGTGCAGACCCGGCCTCTGTGGGCCCAGGCCCTGCAGACCGCAGCGCACCCTAAGGAAAGCTGGCCTGAGTTGGGAGAGTCACTTGAAACCCATCTCTCTGACAGTGGGGTGGATCAGGAGCCTAAAGGGAGAGGTGCGGGCAGGAGGCCCTGCAGTGGCCACCTGGCTGTCGGGGAGAGGGACTGTCTGTGAAAGTTGCTAGGGATGTTGACTCGTCTCCTCCAAGTGGCCACAGAGGCGCCCCCAGGTCTGCTTGCCCCATGAAGGGGTCCTGTGGAGGCACCGAGGAAAGTGCCCACAGGTGTTTCCCATGGAGGGGAGCAGCCTTGCCCAGCCCTGCTCAGGACACTTCTGAAGGTCAGAGCAGGCAGGACTCACTCTCCTGCTTAGCGACTGCTGGTCCCCATGTGCTGGGACGAAGGGCGGGACGCAGGGTGGACAAAGGAGGAAGAGAGAAGAGGAAGCAGGAAAGGTGGAGGGACAGAGTGCAGTTTAGAGCCCTTTGATCCGCCCATCTAGGCCCTTGGACACTGTGTCTCAGGGGACACCATCCTCGGCCTGGCTGTGTACCTGTCCCAGCCTCCTCAGGGCGTCCTTCACGTCCTTGTTCCGCAGGCTGTAGATGAGGGGGTTGAGCATCGGGATGACCAGGGTGTAGAAGACCGAGACCACCTTGCCCTGCTCCATGGACCCCACGGCTCCTGGCTGGGCGTACATCACAAACACAGTTCCATAAAACAGAGACACGGCTGTCAGGTGGGAGCCACAGGTGGAGAAGAGCTTGTGCCGCCCAGATCCTGAGCGCATCCTGAGGATGGTCACTGCGATGTAGCCATAGGAGACCAAGATCCCTAGTATCGCACCCACAAGGATGAGCCCACAGATGCCGAACATGACCAGCTGGTTGAGAGCCGTGTTGGCACAGGCCAGCCGGAGCAGGGGGGGCACGTCACAGAAGAAGTGGTTGATGCGGTTGGAGCTGCAGAAGGGCAGCTGGAAGGTGAGGCTGGTCTCTATGATGGAGTTGAGGCAGCCTCCACAGTAGGCTCCGAGCACTAGGCGGACACACGTAGCAGGACACATGGTCGCAGGGTACTGCAGGGGGCTGCAGATGGCCATGAAGCGGTCATAGGCCATCACAGCCAAGAGGAAAGCCTCAGTGGTAGCCAGTAAGGAGAAGAAGAACAGCTGGGTGGCACATCCCCTAAAGCTGATGGCCTTGGAGGAGAGGAAGTTGGCCAGGGCATTGGGGGCGATGACGGAGGAGTAGCAGAGGTCCAGGAAGGACAGGTTCTTGAGGAAGAAGTACATGGGGGAGTGCAGGCGGGCATCCAGGGTGATGACCACGATCATGGTGACATTGCCCAGGACAGTCACCACATAGAGGGCCAGGAAGACAGCAAAGAGCAGAGCTTGAATCTCCACCCCTCCTCTAAAGCCCTCCAGCACAAACTCCCGCCAGGGCAGTGCTGAGAGGTTTCCGTTTCTGAGGGTCGGCATGGCCCTGCGCTGGGACAGCAGGCAGAGAGGACAGTGGAGCTGGGCCAAGGTCTCCCAGTCACATCACCGTGGTGCACAGGGATCACTTGTGCCACGCTCACACCTGCCACAGGCACCAGCAGACCTGTTCTCCTTCTGATGAGCTGGCCCTAGGCTGAAAAGGTCATGTCCTGTGATGCACTTGATCCTCAAGCATGTGCTGAGCCTGTCCTGTGCAGGACACAGAGCCCTGCTCTGTGGTTGCCAGCAGGCATCCAGAGCTGAGTGACTCTCAGTGCAGGAAGCTTCAGCCTGCCGCTCCCACCCACCAAGGATGCCCTGAGTGATGCCCCTGTACCCCTGGCTCCTGTGTCCATCCTGCACTCCCCAAAGCTTTCTAACTCACCAATCAGGACATGGGCCCTGGAGCACACGTCTTCCCCTGCCCACAGGTCTTCCCCAGGTGGTCACTCCATCTGTGTCCTAGGCACAGAGCAGGAGTGCACCCTGCCCAGGCTGGCGTGGAGCCCCTGTGTGTGCCCCTGCAGGACCCTGCACCCACCTTGGCAGCACTGAGAAAGTCTCCAGTGTTCCTGTTTGGAGCTCTCTGACCCTCAGGTGACAGGGGCTTCCTGCTGCTGAAGCCCTGGTTGCTTCTTGCTCCTGGACTGTGAAAGGCCCTGCTGCAGTCCCCGGAGCCCAGGCAGTGCTCAGAGCTCAGGTGCTGCTGGGGTCCATCTCTGAGGCCCCGGTCAGTGCACACCCCACTCCAGCACTGCCTCCTGTCAACAGCACACAGGACTGGACACAGCTCATCTCTGGCCTCAGGCAGTCAAGGGACGTGGCAGGGCAGCTGCGGCTACCTGGGTCCAGTGAGGGTCTGAGGTCCAGATTCTGCCTGCAGCGGCTCCTGGTCCTTGTGAAGAGGCAGGGGAGGTCCCTCCTCCATGTCCCCAGTGGTGTGTTGGCACTGTCTCAGGTACACTGCCCCTGGCAGGGCTGGGACGCGGGGCCTCAGGTGGCCAATTAAGAAGTTCTGACCTCTGCAGAGCTGGGGCTTGGGGTCTACTGGGAGCTCTGCCTCTTATCTTGTCCAATTCACCCTCACCATAGGGCTGGGACCCCTACTCTAGAAGTCCCTCCAAGTCCCAAAGGGCAAACAGGAGTGTTGGAGAGTCACCAGGAGCAGAGCAGCTGCCCTGTGTGCTGAGGTCTCCCGCACTGCGCCCACTCCCGCCAGCTCTCGTGCCTGCCCACCTTCCTGCTCTCCCGCCCAAGGCACCTGGCCCCTCTGCTCTGCTCCAAGTTCTTGGCGAATCACTGTGCCACTGAATTAGGCAGGTAGTTAGGTCAGGTCCCTTTGCACTCCTTCCTACATTGGTTTCTTACAAACATCCTTAGAACTCTATTTGTGACAAACTTAAAATGAGCACCAGCCTGAGGAAATCCCAGGGTGCAGAGTCTCATCTGTGGACAGTCACGCTGACCCCACAGCGTATGCATGTGCTGGTGGGCTTTATGTTTGTCTTTGTTTTTAAATTCTAATTTGTGGGCTGGAGATGTGGCTCAAGTGGTAGCGTGCTCGCCCAGCGTGTGTGAGGCACTGGGTTCAATTCTCGGCATCACATAAAAATAAAATAAAGATATTTAAAAAAGAAAATACATATTAAAAATTCTAATTTGTAATATATGACAGCAGAATGCATTATACTTCATATTACACATATAGAGCACAATTTTTCATATCTCTGGTTGTACACAAGGTAGAGTCACACCATTCATGTCTTCATACATGTACTTAGGGTGATGGTGTCCATCTCATTCCACTGTCCTTGCTAACCCCCTGGCCCCTCCCACCCCTCCCACCCTTCTGCATATCTAGAGTTCATCTATTCCTCCCATGCTCCCCCTCCCTACCCCACTATGAATCAGCCTCCTTATATCAGAGAAAACATTTGGCATTTTGTGTTTTGGGATTGGATAACTTTGCTTAGCATTATCTTCTCCAACTCCATCCATTTACCTGCAAATGCCATGATTTCATTCTCTGCTATTCCTGAGTAATATTCCATTGTGTATATATGCCACAGTTTCTTTATCCATTAAACTACTGAAGGGCACCTAGGTTGGTTCCACAGTTATTGTGAATTGTGCTGCTATAAACATTGATGTGGCTGTGTCCCTGTAGTATGCTGTTTTTAAGTTCTTTGGGTATAGAATGAGGAGAGGGATAGCTGGATCAAATGGTGGTTCCATTCCAAGTTTTCCAAGGAATCTCCATACTGCTTTCCATATTGGCTGCACCATTTTGCAGTCCCACCAGCAGTGTATGAGTGTGCATTTTCCCCCACATCCTCGCCAACACTTATTGTTGTTTGTATTCTTAACAGCTGCCATTCTGACTGGAGTGAGATGAAATCTTAGAGTGGTTTTGATTTGCATTTCTCCAATTGCTAGAGATGTTGAACATTTTTTATATATTTGTATATCACCTTCTGACAAGTCTTTGTTCAGTTCCTTGGCCCATTTATTGATTGGGTTATGTGTTTTTTTGGAGTTTAGCTTTTTGAGTTCTTTATATACCCTAGAGATTAGTGCTCTATCTGATGTATGAGGGGTAAAAATTTGCCTCCAAACTATAGGCTCTCTATTCACCTCACTGATTGTTTCTTTTGCTGAGAAGAAGCTTTACAGTTTGAATCCATCCATTTATTAATTCTTTATTTTAATTCCTGCACTATAGGAGTTTGATTAAGGAACTAGGGGCCTATCTCTATCTCCCTGACCTCACACGCCTATTTCACCTTTATGCAGCTGAAAAGCAGGGATTTGCTCTTAGGTGTCCTCAGACACATGCTGGGGCCAACCTTTGCCCCTGTAGCTTATCTACTGAAGGGTCTTGACCCTTTCGGGATGGGCCCCTTGCCTATGACTGTTGGCTACAGCCTTTCTACTCATTAATGAGTAAAAGAAACTCACCTCTGGGGCCCCACTCAACATCCTGGCTCCCCAGCACCTAAAGAAACTCCTCACCTACACGGGCTTGCATTCCTTACCTACTGTGGCCTTTTATCTCTACGGGTTTCCCTGGTGGAAGATCCCAGTCTTACTGTCCACCTTTAAACCCTGCTACTCTCCTCCCCGCTGCTCAGGACTCCCACCTCTCCTTCTCTTACCCATTCATGCATTGAAACTCTGGAGGAGCTTCTCCCACACACAGGAAGGCCCCTGCTCGGGGCCACACACACATGGTTCACAGATGGCTCCTCCTTCCTTCAGGAGGGAGTCTGTGGGGCAGGGTCTGCTACAGTCTCCCTAGCCTCCGTTGTGGAAGCAGCTCCCCTCCCCAGTAACCCTCCACTCAGCAGGCTGAACTGGTCGCCCTCACCAGAGCCTTCACTGAGGCAAAGGGAGCCTCCCTCCATGTCCACACTGACTCCAAATACCCCGTCCACATGCCTCTCTCCCACTCTGCTATCTGGAAGGAGCATGGATTCCTTACCACCAAGGGAACCTCATTACTAATGCCCCTTTACCTCCGATCTCCTTAGGCCTCAGAGCTTCCCTCTGGCACTGGAACTGAGGACGGCAGCTAAGGATCCCCTTCTCCAGTGGCACTTCCTTTCCTGACCTCTCTCCTTGCCACAGGCCTTCTGCTAATGCTTGCCCCCTTCGCCATTAGATTTCTTCAAGCCTAGATGCAAAGGATCTCTAACCAAACCGTGAACCAGCTGCTGTCACAGGGCTTCCAACCCCTCACCAAGCTTGGGCCGTCTGGAGTCAGCATGCCTGGCACCCCCTGACCCTCTCCATTGCCTCAATGACACTCTGCGTCCCTAGCAAGTGTCCAGTCCACCTCTTCCCAGCAGGAAGAAGCTACAGAAGATTGATCTTTGCCCCCTGTCCCTTTAGGGGCCCAATAACAAACAGAAAAGAGGAAAATGTAAGGTCCTTGCTTAGGCATCTTGATAGCCATCTTAAGTGACAGCTGCCATTGTAAGAAAAATTTTGCTTTCCCACCCAAGGGCATTTCTGAGAAAGGCTCACCTCTCCCCCATCCCAACCCCACCCTTAGGACCTGCCTGGCTCTAATCCCTGAGCCTGCCCCATAAAAGTCCCAAACCCAAGCCTGTTTTGCCTCTCTCCATCTATGGAGAGGTGTGCCTGTTTGTGAGCTCTGACTAATACACCCCCGTGTGTATCTCTGCCTGGTCTCCGTCGTTCATTCCTCGCTCGCTCATCTCCTGGTTCCTCACTTTCCTGTCCGTCGGCTGGCTAAATAAAGACTCTCCAATTCGGACAAAATGGACTTGGTATGTTTTCTGAGTGGTCTGCTCCGTAACAGTCTCCTTCCCTTCCTCTGCCTCTTCTAGGATTCTGCCCCCCAAACTTGTGACCCACAATGCCAATCCCTTACCCCCAGGCCCCGAGTGCCCATTGCTCTCAGCATCCAGTGTCTGCCTTAGGAGCCCACAGCTGCCTCAGGGAAGGGCTCCAGCAAACTCCACCTCACGACTCGGCCTCATTCAAATCTCCCCTTAGCCCGGACTCTTACCCTGTGGTTATGGTGGTTTCCGGCCATTTAAAATGTACTTTAAACTCTTTAGTGTTCCAAAGGAGGGGTTGTCTGAAATGTTTTATATGAAAAGTCTTGACACTTAGAAATATGTTTTACTGTCTTATCTTTCCCCGAAATGTCTTTTGTCCCTGTCTTTTCCTTGGAGTTACTGTTAGACCAGGATGCAAGGAAAGACCACTGACTCCAATTAAAATCAAATTAAAGCAAGCTTATTATTTCAACCAGCCAGGCTGCCTCTCCCAACAAAAACTACGGGAACTAGACAGCCCTGCAGCTTTCCTGCAGCCCAGCTTTATAGCCCAGAAAGTTACACAAAGCGGGGTTAAGATAACAAAACTCTGAGGAGCATAACACAAAGGCTAGTTTACACTTTTGCTGGCCCCAACATCAGAATTTATGAAGGTCATTAGAGCCTCAGAGAGGGTCGTTATCTGGCCAGGGA